GTAAATTTAAAGTTTTTTACTATTATTATTATTATTGTTTTTTTTCTTCCAGTGCGCAGGACAATCCTGGTACCTGGCGGTCGATATGCAATTATATTGGCTTTCACCCTTGGTTATATTACCGTTATGGAAATGGCCAAAATTGGGAAAATGTTTTTCATGGTTCCTTCTCACACTATCCGTCGTATCCGTTTTTGCTATTTCTTACATTTACGAATTTCGTGCATCTTTTCACGCGGGTTTGGGGTAAGTGTATCCCCTTCCTTCCTCTCCTCCCTATCCCGATTCCTGGATCCTCTTTCGTGCTATCAGACCGACGGGTTTTTTTTTTTTGTAGAGATTTTGATGAATACATTAGATCTACTAAAATGATTTACGTACCCACCCACACAAGAGCAACGCCCTACATAATCGGTATCTTATTAGGAAACTATTTGTATTTTTTATCAAAGACGAACCGCTCCATGATACTGGATAAAGTAAGTATGGGAAAAATTCATTCATTCTTTTTTTCTTTTCGCCCATTTTGAAAATTTTTTTTTTTTGCGACAGAAGTGGGTAATAACAAATTGGTTTGCTTCGACTCTAATATGTTTAAGTATTTTATTTGGAAATTATCAATTTACGAGACCCGTTACGGATCATCCATACAACAGGCTGGAATCATCAATTTATATATCCCTACATCGTTTGGGATGGGGATTAAGCATTTCCTGGATAATTTTATCCTGTTTGAATAAATACGGAGGTACGAGTTTTGGTTTAAGTTATAGAAAAAAAAAAGGATTTTAATTTCGTCACGTAAAAAAATTTTTTTTTTCGCTTTTTTCAGGTTTTGTAAATTCGATATTGTCGTGGAAAGCGTTCGTACCTTTGAGCCGTTTGACTTATTGCATTTTTCTAAGTCACATGGCCGTTCAACAATATCAAATAGGTTCGGCTCGGACGCCTGATTATTTTCAATATTTTAACGAATTTCATCGTTTTTTCGGTGACGTTTTACTTTCCATAATATTTGCAACGGGTTTATCTTTAATTTTCGAATCTCCCATTTTAGTTTTGGAAAAATTATTTTTAAACAAATCAAACATAAAAAAAGGTTCAAAAGGAATTATTAATAAAGGTTTCGAAGGTAATCCGAACGAACCCAAAAATTCTAATTTTGTTTTGTAATTAAAAATACATGCCAAAAAAAATATAAAACATATAAAATTTTCTTCTCTTCTTATCATTTTCCACCACGATTTTCCATTCCCCTCCTATTCTTTTCCCACTCCTCCTCCCTCTCCTCTCCTCTTTTTTCTTCCCTTAATAATTTTTTTTTTACTATTTTTTTTCTTCTTCGATATTTAAAATTCTTTTTCGACACTTTTTTCTTTCTTTTTTTTTCTTTTCTTTATTATTTTTCTTAATAATTTTTATAAAAAAAAAAAAGAAAGTTTTTTGACACGCTTTTTGATGGTAATAATAATAATAATAATAATAATAAATTCGATTTTTTGAGTCTTTGGGTCACTGGAGAATTTATTTTATAAAAATTTTTAAAGTTAGAGATTCAACCTTACGGGGAAAGGGTGAGGGTGGGGCTGGGGGGTTATTACAGTTATTCAAAGTGACAGAAAAAATGGAAGAAAGAAATAAAAAAAGAAAAAAAATTATAATTTTATAAAATACCTTCTTCGAAAGTATTATCAAAATTTATAATGTCTTGTTGGATTTAAAAACTTTATAAAAGTGAATAAACTGACAAAAAAAATTCTTTTTTTTTTTTTTTTTTTTTAATTTTTCGGGGGAAAAAAATGAAAAATTTTAATTTAAAAGCAAAAGAAAAGAAGAATAAGAAGAATATTTCTATAAAATACAAAATTATAAAAATGTCTCCCTCTCTCTCTCTCCGAACGTATGGTATAAAAAGTCTCTTTTTTTTATTTTTATATTAAAAAAATGCAAATTTAGTAGTTAATAATAATAATAATGATGATGATTTGAAATGAAGACGAAAAAACTACGTTCTTCACGAGGTTTAATTTAAAAAACAAAATAACATAATATTATTATTATTATCATCACAAAACCTTTTATTTATCATTTTTCTCTAGAAGGTTCTCTTCTTCGACCCAACTAATCGTTTCAGACTAAATGGTTTGTACGAAAACCACAACAACTACAACAACAACAACAACGCAAAACAAAAAAAAAATTTTAAAGCCTACAAAAATTTAATTAGACTTTTTGCAATGCATGCGTGACCTAAAAAAAAGTCTCACTTTTTGGGAAGGAGAATCTCAAGATTTCAAAAAAAAAAAAAAAAGGGTCATATGCGAGGTCATTAACGAATATTTTTTATTTAAATTATTAATAATAAATACTCGTTTTTTTTTTTAATAAAAAGATAATTATAAAAATTAAATAAATAAAATCAGTGCCGCGTGTATAATTAATAAAAAAAAAAAATTATTCGTTTGCGTAACCATTTAAAACATTTTTTATTAATTTTTATTTTTTTAATAATTATGATTTACGACGAGAAATTTATTATTATTATTATTATTATTATTATTATTATTATTATTATTATTATTATTATTATTATTATTATTATTATTAAGATTTTTCTTATTCCATCAATTTATAAAATAAAAAAAAATAAAAAATTAATTAACGAAAGAATTAATTAATTAAACAAAAAAAAATTAATTTAATAAAACGTGTTGGGGGAAGAGAAGGAAATTTTTTTACTTATTTATTTATTTACGATATTTCAGCGTCAAAATTTTTCAAAATGATAATAATGATAATAATTTCTTTTGTTACAATTTTAACAAATCCGCTTTAAAAAAAAAAATCAAAATGAAATTTAAATAGAAGATTGAAATGAAAATAATGTGGAAAAAAAATAAAAGAATATGATGAAAAAAATAAAATAAAATAAAAAAGAATTTCAAGGAGTGGAATAAGAATAAAAAAAGGATAAACAAAAGAGAAAAGTAAAAAAAAAAGGATGAAAACAATAACCGTAAAAACGGATTATTGTAAATTGAATTATTTATTGAAAATTAACAATACGAGAGAAAAAAAAAGGAATGAAAAAAAGGAAAAAAGGAAAAGGAAAAAACTTATTTTTTCACAAGTGACTTTTTTTTTTTTTACTCGTATTGTCTTCCTTTCTCGTATTACAACAAATTCTATTGTTTTAAATCATTTTTCTTTTTATTTTTCTTCTTCAACTTATTCCCGCCCCATGTTTTTCCTCGTTTTCCTTCCCCCTTCCTCTCTCTCATTCTTACAACCTTCAATTTTCTAAATTTTTTTCCTCCATTTATTATCATCTAATATTTATCATCATCATCATTCTTTTGTTATTCTCTAACCGAAAGTGTTTTTGTAAAAAAAAAAATTGTTTTAAAACTTTTTCCGATTGTTTTTTTTTCTTTTTTTGAAACAAACAAACAAACAAAAAAATTATTTAAGATCGAATAAATTAACAAACAAATTTTTTTGTTAATAATAAAATAAAATTTAAATAAAAAAATGTTTTCCATGTTTTTTTATTGTTTTCGATTTATCGATCGGTTATCACGAAAACTTTTTCGATTTTTCTATATTATCATTATTATTATTATCATTGTTGTTATTATTCAATTTTTGTCATCTGAAAAAATAAAAGGGAAAAAAAGAAAATGGATTCATGCGTATTAAAAAATAAGAAAAAAAAAAGAACAAAAAAAGAAAAAAACTAATGAGCGTAAGAAAAACAAACACTGATTTAAATAATTGTAAAAGGAATGTTTACACATGCGGAAATTGAAACAGGAAAAGGAAATAATAAAAATTCCCAATAGGGGAGAATCCCGATGATGATGATGATGATGATGATGTAAAAACAATAGGAAAAATATGATTAGAAAAATTAAATTTTCAAAAGTGAGAAACGAAACGAACAAAAAAAAAAAAAAAAAATTCGTCAAAGAAAACGTTCAAAAAAAAAAAAAAAAACGAAACCGGATGTTAGTTATTTGATTTCAAACGACGATTGTTTCCCGCTAAAAAAAAATTCCATCGTCATCATCATTATTATTATTAAAATCGATCAGCATCGTTTTTTTTTTGCGCGCGCGACTTCATTTATTTAATTAAAAAAAAAAAAATTACTTTAATTTATATTACAATTCGAATCATCCATTTACTACTATCATTATTATCATTATTATTGCCAGTATATTTTTCGTTAATAATTATTATCATTATTTTCTTTCTTTCTTTCCGTTTGGAGTTTTGACCTTTTACATCTTGACAAATTAACAATAGAGGAGAAACAAAAAAAAAATTCACGTTAAAACATGTTATTTACGCACACGTAATAATTTTCATTTCAATTAATTAATTAAATATTAATAATAATAATAGCGTGTAATATTAAATATGTATATCATCACGTATACGACGAATAGCGAAAAAAAATTTAAATAATTAAATAAATTTTCAAATTTATTTTTAACTTAAAAAAAAATTTAGTCTCGATATTTTACCTATCACGGGTGGAAAATAATGAAGAAACATCTTGATAAAATGACTTAATTAAATATGCATAACTTCTCGAAACGTAAATTTTCTTATGAAAAAAAAAAAAACGCAAGGTTTTACACGATCGTTTGTTACAGGATGTCAATTACGTCATCACATCCTTACATCGTCCTTGGTTTGTCACACAGTAGGTTTTTGTAAATACCTTAAACAATTTTTTCCCCGATTTCCTATTATTATTATTATTATTATTATGTTTTTATTTTAATCGTAATTTTTATGTGTTTTCATTGATATTTTCGATTGTCTATTTATGGGATTCGATGAGGTAAAATGATTGGGATCGGGAGTATGCACATCCTCGTTCTAAATTTCTCTTTTAGAGACCGATAGAAAAGCCATAAAAATTTTCTTTTTTCTTAACAATTAATAAAATTATGTACCTTAAACTATTTGCAATCAAGTCAAAGAAACGTTTAAGAATAAAATCATACAATCGGTATGATAAGTCAATAAGTTAAAAGAAAAAAAAATTTACGGGATTTGGTTTTACTCCATTGTAAGTATTTGCATTAAGTTAAAACGAAAAAAAAGAAAATTATAAAATGAATGACTTACCCAATTGAAATTAAACCCATCTTGAAATCTTTTTACGTTTCCTTTTTTTCCAAATCACTGTAGGCACATATAGAATACACTTTTAAAATTATAATTAACTTAATATTATTATCGAACTTATTAAAAAAAATGAAAATCACATCACAAAATTAAATGAAAACGAGATTTTGATTAGAGACACATTATTTTAACACTATTAAAGGCACAAAATGACACGATTTTATTAAAAAAAAAAAAAAAAAAAAAACCATTTAAAACTAATTAAAAATCACCATTGATTTTAACACAAACTCAAACATTTAACACAAATATAAATTGATGTTAACCGTTTCACATTCGCACGTAAACTGTCATCATTATCATCATTGCATCATCGTTAGCATTTTTTTTTCGCGCGAAACTACCCTCGTCGTCGTGGCACTAAACTAAAAGAAAACAAACAAAAAATTTTAAGTTTAAATATAATGTAATATATATATATATAAAACAACGAAGAGTAAAAATTTTAATTAAAATAAAATTAAATAATAATAATAATATTTTCTCTACATGGAAAAAATCACTAAAAAAGGTTTTATTTATTTATTTGTTTATTTTGTTAATTATAATTGTTTATAAAAATTTCATAGTTGAAAATGACAGCATTTTCGTAAAAAAAAAAAAAAAAACTAAGAAAAAAGAGAGAGAGAGAGAAAACAAATGATGATGATAATAATAATGATAAAAGAAGAGAGAGAGAGAAAAAAAATTATTATTTAAGGTTTTTTAAATAATTAAAAAAGTAAAACTTTCTGAGGATGAGTTTTTTTTTTTTTCTTAAAATGAGGGTTGAAAATAAAGAAGGCAGAAAGAAAGAAAGTAAGAAAGAAAAAGATGAAAATAATGATGATGATGATGATGATGATGATGAAAAAGAATAAGAAAAAGAAAGAAAGAAATAAAGTTTTTCTTTCTTTTTTGTGTATTTACAAGTTAAGAGAGACATTTTCAACCTTGTACTGTATATAAATCTTTGTTAAAGTTTTTCAAAA